AATCCTCCACGAACGAGAATTATTCAAAAGGAATGCCCGATTAAGTTCCTTTTTTTTCTATCTATAATAAATCGCGATTGTGTGCTCGCCACGAAAGTTGCGCTGCGGTGTCCGTGGAGGATTAACGATCATCTTTATCCATTGTGTGCGCGTTTTATCGAGAACGCTCGAACGCTCGTTTGTGTACGCGTATCTGAATACCTTCCTTCAAAAATTCCCTTTTCTCATTTCTACATACAAGAAAGTAGAAGCTCGCACGCGAGCGTGGAAATCTTATCTGAGCGGAGCTTTCACCAAAAAAAGAGAGAGAGAGAGAGAGAGAAAGAGAGGATTGCGATTTGAAAGGATCGTTTTCGAACTGTGGAAGGAGATCAGAATCGCGCCACACACATGTTTCCTCTTGCGTTACATACATGATTCCACTTGTGTTAATTTTACGAAAATATCGAACAAACGCGCACGATTTTCGCGATCGTGGCACAAACGACCGGTCTCGCTCCTCTAACTACGGAGAAGCTCGCGCGAGCTTTCTATTATACTTGTGAATTTGCCTATTATCCTTACCCTTTACATTAAATATATATATATATATATATATTTATATATTTATAATATGTATATTATATATAATTTACGAAGTAGCGTTAATCGAAAGATGTCAAATCAGTTCGGAACTTGCGGCTGCCGGTGGAAAAAAATAATAACGCGGTAATATCGATCACTTCTTTCCTTTCCGCCGGCATCGTGCAAAGTTGAGATCATTATAGCGTGCTTGTGGTGTGTACGATTTAAAATGTACGAGAAACAGAGCTTGTTTATACGTTCCCCTCGATGAAGGTGTTCCGTCGCGGATCCTGTCGTCTCGTGTATATTTTATATTTTTCCTCTCTACATTTCGTCCCCTGCTCCCCCCCAAGCGTCGCGCGTGGTCGTCATATTGCTGTACGCTAATTATGTCATAAATGCCTTAACATTCGCGCTCGAACGTATTGCAATCTCCCCCCCCCCCCTCCGTCCCGCCGAATGTTTATAAGCTGTGTGCAAATTGACATACTTGGCGACTAAACCGACCGATGCTTTGCCCGCCTCAACAGCTGCAAGTTGTACATTCTCTCGGGCGCACAAGGTCATTCGCATAGATCGTTCCGCTTTAAAAAGAGTATATTCCAACGTCTCTACCTACTCGATAGGTCTTTCGTAACTGCTTTGTAACTTAAAAAGGATTTTCTCCGTGTCTTGATTGTTAATGCCAACGTTTCGTGAACAATGCAGTTGTCCACTTCATCACGAGAAGGACAATTTGATGCTTTGTAACTTCTCGACGCGTGCCCGAGCGAATGATAATAGTTGTGCAGTCATCGGCGGTTTGTACGCTCGGTGAAATCCCACATTTCTATGAAAGTCCCGAAGGTCTCCGCTGGTGAGACCGCATTCAAATGCACTGAAGAGAGTTTCTTCCAAGAGCTTCTTTCTTTGCTCTCGCCGCAGGTCAGACGAGATCTCTCGTTAGATTTCTAAAAAATATGACCTGTATAGTTAATTACTCAAGAGAGCCCTTTGAAGTAAAGCTATGACTCGCAATTCATTAGGATCCGCGAATTGTGTACTTGGCCAAATTTAATAGGCCTGGAATACTTGTCGGACAGCTCTGCGACAAAATTTTCTGTACAGTGTCTAAACACGCTATTTTGCTTTAAAGAAAAAAATGAAGGTAGCAGAGAAGACGTATAGATACGACGAATGTTATGGGCATTTATGACTTGTCTAGAGTACAATCGTAGAAAATAAGAGGAGAACACGGCGCGATCCTCCTTTTTTTCTCTCGTTTAATTTCTCAGAAACTACTGACTCGGTGGAACTAGCGCTTCTAGATATTCAAAAATACATCGCTTCATTTTGCGGATGATCATTTCTCGTGGCGCGAAGAGCTAACTACTTTTTTTTCTTCTTCCTTCTACCCCCCCCCCCCTCTCGCGCGCAGTTCGCTCGGGACAAGGGTCGAGGAATTGAGAATTAAAAGTAAATCTGATTTTATTAAAGGAACACTTGCAGGTAATCGCAGTGACGCAATTTCCTTCGCCTCTCGATTCAGTGTGGCTGCAGTGGCAGCAGGTCAGGTGCCTCAATTATTCCGTCTTTCATTTTTCCGCTGATTTCGACCGGTATAATATTAGTTTAACAATAGCAAAGGTACATATCTACTCTTAATCCTCAAGTTCCTCGAGTCGGGCTAACATACAGGGTGGCGGTATAGATAAGCGTTCTGGCACGTTACGTCGGCTGCGAACGCCGTGATCAATTGACGAGACTGTGAGTGAAGGTACATTTGTTGTCTTAAAGTACGATTAACCTGATGAACAAGAAGCTCTCTTTCTCTTCTACAGTGTGTCTCTATTCTCTCCCCTTTCCGGACAGACCCTATCTCGCCTCCTCTCTCACTTCATCGCCGCGTATCATCGCCTTGCGAGCGGCGCGCGACTTTCGCATACATTCGTTTCTTCTACTTTTTTTTCGCTAGAACTCGAGAATTTTGCTTAAAAAAATCACAGTGCGCGCGCGCACACACACACGTTAAGCCCCTTTATAGCAGAAATATGATTTTTATAAAAAACAAAAATATTGTATATTTCATGGAAAAGTATAGTCGACGTCACACGTAAGAAACCACAATTGAAATTCAAAGATTTCACTTTTAACGAGACAGACACGAGTCTCTTATATCTGTCGTGTTTTCATTCCAGTTAGTTTTGCTAGACCCCTTTACGTCTACTTTAATTTTAGTCTTTGTAGATTTGGACAAACAATCGATAATCGTCCTGGATATTAAACTCCCGTGCCCGCACACTCGGGGCATTAATTTCATACAACACTTAAATTTTAATAATTGATCGTTTCATTTAACAGGAAATAGCATGCATGATTGGCAGTGGAGATCACGCTACACTATAGAGACACTCTTACTAATTTTTTTTTTCATTTTTTAGTTTCCTGATCTCACAGCTGATTTCGCATACAAAAATGTACAAATGATTTGAGCAGTGCCACGCACGGCAGTAATATGCCTTTATACGTATTTCTCTAACAATGATTATTATTAATTAACGATGCGCAACCTCTTTACATGATTCTTAAAATATATACGATAAAGGGTGAATCTCTCACATTATCTCAGCGATTTCGTAAGTGGCAGTGAGAACGTATAACGCAGAGTCTTACCCCTCCTCCCCCCTCCCCGAACTAATCGCGAAGAGGACGAAGAACAAAAAAAAACAAAGATTCAAAGATTAAATTTCCACGATGCTGCTCGCGATGCACTGCACGATACTTAACATCCAGAGACTTGCAATCTCTATCACGAATCACAATGATCGTTAATTAATAAACAATAATAAATAAACGATAATAAGGAAAAAATCTGGTCGAATCCGGCAAAAAAAAAGTCCAGCGCGCTAAAATCGGGAACGATCGCATGACGATGCCGCGGGCCGATTACTACGCTATTACGTCCTTTAATAATTAGAGACAGTCTTCTCTAGCCAATACCCGAGAGCTATATAAAAAGAAAAATCGTGGCCGCCGTTGGATATTTACAGGGAATAGTCTGGCGATGATATTTCTTTTTTATAGATAAACAAGTTAGATTTGTACAAACAGGGCTAACTAACGAGCGAGCGAGCAAGCCGCAAGCAGCGCGAATCAATCTTCGCGTCTACCGAAAAGACTGCCGCTCTTCGATTATCTTCTTCCCCTTGGGATCGGCTCACGAAGCTCTGTCGCGATAATCATGTTCCTAACAGCGAATTCGAATGATCAGGTGCAGATTAAAGCGCAGTTGCTAAAAAGGCTGCCGTACACAAATTGAGATAAAATATAAATGTACAGGAGATGAGGTAAAGCACGACAATTGTCTCCAAAAATATTATATCAGATATTATTAGAGGAAGAATATTTAACAGAGCACAGTCTTGGATTAAAGCGCAGTAGAAAATGCATTATTACTATCTTTGAGATGTAATAACTGTTACTGAAAAAATATCTCTCCTCCCAAAGTCGATATTTCGAGAGAAATTAGTGTCACGCTTTCACCCCATCTCATCCGGTATCATTTGCGGACGGTAGCCTACGAGGAGCTCCCAAGGAGCCGGTCCCGCCCCTTTTCGCGTAGCTCTCAGGTACATGGATAATGCTTATCGTAAGAAATGTCTTCTCGCGTCTCGCATTGAGAAAAGGACTAACACTAGCAGTAATGATCGCTACCATCCGGAAAGAATTCGCATTTCCCGGATGGTAGTGATCACTACTACTGCAGCGTGCTAAGGAAGTCCAAATATATATGTTGCAGGTAATCTCAGGAGGACTGGCCGGTTTGTGTCTGTAACGTCGTCGATACCGTCGACGATGATGACGAGGAAGTGGTGGTGGCGGTGCTGGTGGCAGTGGCCAGCGGCATGTGCAAGGTGAATCCGTCGTAAACCTCCATCAAGTCGCGCATACGATACTCTTCCAAACAGACGAATCCCTCCAACGAAGGAGACTGCTTACGCGCGCAATCCATGCAGTGCACTACGTGACGTTTCTCCTGCTCGCGGATGAACAGGATGTTGAACACCTCGATCTGTAAAAAAAAAGTCCAACATTTTTTTTTACTATGACACATTTATTAGAACATGCAAATATGAAAAATATAAGTAGAAGATATTACAATACATCAGAAAATAAAAATATTAAGTATAAATTAAGATTGTGCAGTGCCACGATCGTGCAAGATAATTTTAATAAAAATAAAGAATAAATGTGAAATGTCGAGGCACAATATAGAGAATTTCATTAATTTGTTGATTATTATATAATTATATTCTCGAGTTTAAATCAATCTTAGAATCCCGAAAAATACATATATATAAATCTAAATAATACTAATTTTCAAGATCACGTAAGGAAACATACCTCGCACTGGCCGCAATAGTGCGAGGCCTCGTTCTTGCCGCGACCATGGAAACGCACTTCCACGTCCTTGCTCTTCACAAACTCCAGTATCAAACAACACTGTCTCATCGTTCGCAAAAGACAATTCTTGATCAGCTCGAACAGTCGTGGATCCGAGACCTTGATGTTACGCGCCAAGTTCCACGAAAGATGCACCATCGGCACAATCGATTTGAACGCCTGCAGCTTGTTCCACTCGTAACGCTCGATCGCGAGCTGATACTGTCTGGCAGTGAGCGGGCCGACGTTCCATGCGATATTGTTGCACCAGCCGACCGCCTGTACCCAGTGCACGCAACCCGCGTTCACCCACACGAGATCGCCCGGTCGTTGATGGAACCTGTACACCGGGATGTTCTCCTCGTACAAATCGTCCAGATTCGGCCACCAACTGCCGTGCAGGTAACTGATGCCGTTGCGCTCGCAGAGCGAGCATATTACGCCCCAGTACGCATCTGGTACCGCGAACCATTCGCAGTCGCCCGGCCCGATGTTGATATTAATAGAACAAAAATTGTTGTTCTCCTGGTGTCCGGGTGTTCTGCTGCCAGGTACCTGAGAACGATAACATAAAAATTAAATCACATCCAGGAACACTATATTCGAATATGTAAAAACGTTTTCCATTCTATAAATTTTATTTTTCTAATTAAACTTTTAATTATACCTTCATGTACAATTGTACGGTGTTCATTCCTAGGATCACATGGCCCACATGGCTGAGCATATTACCAGCCGATATCACCCTGGCAAAGGCCGGCAACTTCATTAGTTCGTGTAACTGCGGCTTCCACTTCCTCTCGTCCGACAGATCCACATTGGTACCAAAACGCAGCATCTTGGTTCCCGGTCTACCGGCAAGACCAAAAGTATTCTTTTTGCGTCGGACCGTCTGACCGGTACTGTCCTTCGAGTCCGAATCTGACAGATTGGAGGCATGCACGCCGCCCTGCACCTTCTCTTCTCTCAGGCTCTCCTGAAAGCTGGAAGCCTGATATTGCGCGTACTTTGCGATCGTCGTGTGACTGCGGTGACTGATGCAGTTCCAGACTTTCTTGTTGAGCGTCGGATCCCAGTTCTCCTCGCTGGTCTGCTGCATTTGCGTGCGCACCTCGATGCCGTGATCTGGATTCGCCTCGACTAGAGTCTTAGTTGAGAAAAGACCCAGATCGAGCTTGAGCGCCGCTGCGAGGCCACGTATCACAGCAATCGGATGCTTCAAACAAAATTCCTGCAGCTGCGGACTGAAGGCGTCCTTCTTGTTCTCGAGATAGACGCTCGGTGTAGGCGGCAACAACTGCTCCTTCGTCAGTCGTTGACTGGGTGGATCCGGTGGCGCCGGCGGTGGCGAACGGTCGCTCAGTATCGAGCAATTCGGCACGCCTTTCAGCCCCTGGCCCTTGCACGCCTCGATAACCGTCCTGGCGTCCATCTCGATGTTCAACTCCTGTTCCGGTTGCGACTCGCACAACGACTCGAGCTTCAGATTCATCATCGGTTCTGTCTTGGAAATATTAGTCGCTTCGCTCTTGCTTATTGTTGCCGTCGTCATCGTCGTGCCAGAGGATAACGACGACGTCGTCATCGTCGTCTCACACTTCACCGTCGTCGTCTCACACTTCACCGTTGTCACAGTCGTCGTCGCGGCCGTCGTCATGACCGCCGTCGTCACAGCGTCCGTCGTCGACTTCGTCGGCTGGGAAGCCGCCTCTTCCGATTTTTCCAGTTTCACCTCCTTCACCTTGTCTGCCGCGCTCTCCTCGAGATTCGACGGCGAGAACGGACCGGAGCTCAACGTGCCGTTGTCATTGACGACACCGCCGCTCGGTGGTTCCTCCTTCACGACGTTCTCCAAATCGTCGGAACCGAAGTGCTTGAGCAGGTCCTCCGCCAGCGACGTGGCTATGTCCTTCTGTGACAGCAGCGCCTGCAACTCCTGGTCCGTCACGCCCAGATTGTCCTTGTTCGCTGCAGCCACCGTCGAGCTCTCCGAGTAGCCGCTGGTCGCCGACGTGACCTGCGTGTAACCCTGAGCAGCGTACTGATTCGGCTGCTGCTGATACTGACCACCATACTGGGCGCCGCCGGCGATCTGTTGTCTCTGCGGCGGATAAGTGGGATCGGCGGCGGATTTGTAAGGCATTCCTGGTGTCTGCGTGGTGTTCCCGGTCGCCGCCGTATTGTAGCCGACATTGGTGTCGGAGAAGCCCGTCTGCAGCGCAACCGTACCTCCTTGCTGCAACTAAACGTCAATTATTTAAAATAAAACGGCGTATTCATCGTCGACATGATACATATGTGAGAATCAACAGTGCAAATTTGATTTAAAAAAAAAGAGGTAAAAGATTTACCGGTTGTTGCGGTATGCCGTAGTTCTTGATGACACCCGACGATTGGGCGAGGTTCTGAGGATGGCCATATGCCATGGGATAACCGGGTTGTCCTGGCCTCAGGCCTCGCTGCCCCGCTTGCTGCTGCTGCCTGATTTGTTGCTGGTGTTGCTGCATCGTACGGTATTGTTGCTGCAGCTGGACGAGCACAGCCTGCTGTTGCGGTGTCAAGCTATTAACATTCTGTTGTAGATAATGCAGCATATGCAGTTGCGGCGGCGTTAGGTAGAACGGGGGCGCCCGTTGCTGCGGCGCGGCCGATATCACCTCGTCGGTCTGTCGAGAAAGATTAAACTTAATTAATGATTGGAATATTTAATCACAATCTATTCTCTAATTGTTTTTACTTATAATAAATTCTTTGTAAATACTTTATAGAGATCTACTGTACGTATTTACAAAGCACTCAGACCGTATTACCATAGAAAATTTTTTGAAAATATGCTTTTATTTTTAATGTAGCCTGTCTTTTATTTCTTTACCTTAAATCGCTTAGCATTCTGTCCCTGAGCTTGAGGATAAGGCGGAGGCGGTCCAGTCGGTGTGGCACCATATTTGTTATATATTATTGACGAAGGTCCGCCGGGTTGCTGCTGTTGCTGCTGCTGCCGGCTGGACATCTCTGCGCTGATCGGCAGATTCCAAGCCTCTTCGATTGACGGCAATTGCCGCCTCCTGGGTAAAAGAATAAAAATTATATGAAAGCAGGAAACAAGCTCCGTGACCACAAAATCAAAGAAAAGTACATTAAAGGTCGACTATAATTCCGGCTTGTATTAACCTTTAACTCAATTTTATTTTCAGATTTTATTTTATTATTCTCTCGGATTCAATTTCTTTATTATAGATACTCTCGCGATTGCCATTATTATATTATTACATTACATTACTGTTACCAAATATCTATTAATGGATTTAATATTGGATTATATATCTTATTTTTATTTCATGCATTATTCAATATTATCAATATTGAATAATGATAAACAAAACCTTTGTTATTTTGGAAATTTTACATAAATTTCAAAAACGTATAATATAATAAAATTTCTCAAATACATTCATCTACTTATTCGAATGTGTGAAGAGCTACAGAAACGTTCGTTATAATGGAATCGTAATGTGTAATTTGACTTATCGACGACGACTCACTTGGTAGCGACGGAAGGCATTGGTGCTTGACTTAGGTGACTCTGCAGAAAGCTGATGCGCTGTTGGAGGGACGGGTTCATCGGGTTGTTGCCACCGGACTTAACGCCACCCAGGCCCGCGAATGGGCCCGTGCAATTCGCTATATTGCTGTTTCCCCTACGAGTAAAACAGAACTCTTAAGTCTTATCACCGCTGACCTAAATAACTCAATGTAATCACTGTAAATTCTTGAGATCGTCAAATATAAATCCGGCTTTCAATTTATAACATGCGCCGATCATTCTCGCAGTAAGATGTATGATAATTACAATTCATAAAAACGCTCATGCCGTGATATATAAATAACAACGTAAGAAAGAAAAGTGACACATAACAATATAATTGTTATACTTAATTTACTTATGCGAAAGTAAATATGCTAATAACTAAACCGATACTATGTGTTTTTGTGTGTGTATAAAATTTTATTACATAAAAATGTATAAGATATTTAATATAATAAACATTTCGACTCTGTTTTTTTAGGTTCTCTTCAATACATATTGATAAATACATACATGACATACAGATACATGACATATACATAATATTTTAAAACGACTAACGAGAGTTTAAACACACAAAGTGACATAGAGCCGCTTGACTAAATGCATTCCAGTTTGTTTAAAAAAAAAACTCGATCTTCCTCCTCTTAGATTATTTTATGACATAGATTATTTTATGACTTAGATTATTTATTGACAAACAGATGACACACTAAACGAACTCTCACTAGATCATTACATCTCGACCGTGTCAATTTACTTTTACCTAAGTGTCGACTCGTATTAGTATTTTTATTTTCGTATGATTTAATTCATTAGAGTCTAATTACTTCAATTAATTTATTTAACTTCTATCTCTTAATTATATTTCAAACTATATTCGAATTAATTATTAATATAATGGCTCGCTAGTAAATTAATGTTTAATAGCGAATAAATGTTATAAACTCGCTAGTGTTAAAGCAATGAAATTATAGAGGCATTTAACAATTGTGGAATGTTATAAAAATCGCGACTCGCGCTGGAATGGAACATGTGCAATTTACCTAGATGCGTTGACGTAACAGGCCAAAGCGTCTTTGGGTTGGCTAACACTTTCGTACAGTATGCCTAAATTAGTCCAAGCAGCCGAATGAGATTTGTCTAGTTGCACAGCACATATGTAGGCTTGCAGTGCGTCCATAGGCTGATTCTGCTGCTGATATAGTACCCCTATGCTACACCACGTGTCCGCATTGCCTTCCGATTTTTCGACTGAATTTCTGTCGAGCATACGAAGAACGCCATTAATTCCCAAACAAAGGAAAGAAAATTATGTTAATGTGAATGTGATAATGACGTGAACAACAAAAACATTAGTGTATGAGTATTAAATCCAATACTTGCCTTACAATTATATTTAATCTCTTTCTATTAGATTGGAAAATTTCTTCTGTATTTTGGATTATATTCCTATACAAATATTACAATAAACATTATAATAAATAAAGAAAAAAAAATTTAAACCAAATTTCCAGAGCATGCGTAAAAAAAATATAAAAATAAAAAATATAATAAAAAAATAAATATTTTACATAGCATGCGCAAATAAACCTTTTCCTTCAAATTTCGAAAAAAATCTAAGTGTTCAAAAAGAATATTAAGAAAAGATTTGTCTAAATTAAGAAAATGTATGTAAGATGATTATATTATTTTAAGTAAGTTTATATCAGAAACTTTTCTATAAATTTAGTATTAAAAAAAACCACTCACACTCACTGTTGATTATTGAAATTGCAATGCCAAAAAGTCAAATTTAATCTCACTAATTCCTTTTACTTTTTTTAATGTAAAATTTCAAGTTTCGAAGCATAATTCTAAAAAAAGACACAATTATATATAAACAAATAAAAAAAATATATAAAATTAAATACGCAGCCTGCCAAGTCTATTCTTTCATGTTGCAATTTCAATCGGCAGAATCGCATTCGATGTCATACCTGATTTTTGTGTGTCATTACCTGTACGCGATAAATGCATCGTGCACCTTTCCAGAGGCGGCCAGACAACGTCCCAGAAGGTACAGGCTCTGTCCGCTCTTGGGTTCGGCCTCGATGGACTTTTGCAGGCAGTGGATAGCTATGGCTTGCTTCTGCGCTCTGTTTATGCTCAGTACCGTGCACTCAACCACGTGGTACATCCATCCTGCGTGAGAGAACGAACGCGAATGATAAAACATGTGACACTGTCCCTTCTCGATTATTTCCTTCTTTCGCCTGCCATCTCTGCCGCGACGCGCGGCGACCCTGACATGATGCTAGACGAACTAGCGAACTAAAACTAACTGAATAGACTCTCGCAGGTATGGTTTGGCCCTAGGGTTGCTCCCGACAGCCAGCCAGCCAGTCGTTCTTGCTATTGCTGTCCCTTGTCTAGGGGGGGCTGTCTCGAATTACCCCCCTTGTAAACATAGGCGCAGCAGCGCAAAAACGACCCTGCGCAACAGGATTTTCGTCCTCTCGAGACGAGAAGGCCCTAAAGGGATTCTCGCTCGATATAGTCGAACGCTCACATTCGTCAATTGCCTTTGAATTCACGTTCCGATTCTCTCGGGGATTGTTGGTTAACAATGAGATATGTTATATTAACTCCGCGTTCCCTCGGATTAACTGAAATCATCCAATTTCCTCGAAAGGAAGGATGCAAAATACCGTATAATAATTTAAACCTTTTATTTTCTTTCTTTAGAATAGTATGTGTGTATATATATATATATATATACATACACGTTCCATAATATGCATATAAATATATATATAATATGTTCTACAACATGTTAATAAAAAAAAATAATATAATCCCTCCGCGCGTTCCCGATATAACGGGACGTTGATTTATGGCCACTGGCTTCTATATTTGCGCGACGCGTGTTTACCTGTTGATACCCCACGGATTAATCGTCGTGGGAAAAGCGGGGCGTCGGCAAGAAGTTGTTATTCGCGACAATAAATGCGCGACCGTAAAATAGGTGAACACGTGGCGGAACCGCACGTGGGAACTGCACGGCCGAGTTAATTAATTCGCCCGATCGGTCAATTTCGACCCAATTAAGCACTTCCACCTCTTCAATAGCTTTAATAACTATTTTATTTTAATATTATAATGAAAGAGAGTATAAAAATCTATCCTTAATGATAAATTGACAACAATTATCAAGTTAGTACAAAAGTTTGTTTTGCCACCAAGCTCTTTGCTTTAAATAAAGCCGCGAAAATTTTAGAGAAAACCGTTTTAAAACATTTCTTTTAAACTAAAAAAAAATTGTATTTTAAGCTATGGTATCTGTTTTAACGAGTAAAAACTCAAATAGTTGGCTTTTCTTGAGGCAAAACTTGAAAGAAGTAGAGCTAATATTTGCCGTACATTGTCGGTACACTTCACTTTAATCCGGAGAAAGAGAGAGAGAGAGAGAGAGAGAACGTCGCAAAAATTTCGGAACACTCTCGGAAATATTCCCGCCCGTTTATTCGGAGGATTAAAATAATCACCCCCGGTTGCGCGATACGCACCGTCGCTTCGTTTGCTCGTCTACCTTTAATGTTATTTATTCACCTGGCGTATTTTACCTGTCCTTAAACGCCACGTCCCATATGCGCTCGATTTGCAAATCTACCCAACCTGCCTTTAAATCGGTCCACCTGGCCGCGGTCGCGTCCCGAAAGCTTGAATTTGTCTGTCAGTCGATTTAAATCACGCCAACCGAAAAACCCGAAAAATCTTCTTCCGATATTCTTACGTTTGAAAACACTAAATTTTTCAAGAATACGTATTCTTGTCTCCCACTTTAGGAAAGGTTTTATTGAAGTTTTGAGAAAAAAATGAGACATAGGTACCTATACAATTAATTTAACACAAACACGCAAAAGATTATTGAAATATTTTTTTATGAAATACTGACGCCATTATTATTTTTCTAATTAAAGTGCTTTTTTACACAATTTAATGTCATCAATCGTTCTATATAAAAGTACTAAGGCAGTCGTGAAAGAATCAGTTTACAAGATTTATTTCATTTTTTCTTTTGACATAAAATATGAAATATCTCGTAAAATAGTTTTCCTTACTTTCATACTTTTATGCATATTGCACACATTATGCGAATCGTATCCTTCAATATTGCAATCAATGTGCGGTGATTAGAAATGGGATTTATTCCTCACAGCTATTCAACCGACGAGACGCATTGCATGTCGAGACGGAAAGAGAGAGAACGTTCCTCCTCGCCTCGCGGAGAAAAAGAGAGCGGACGAAGGAGAGAACAACAAGAACGGAGTATTCCAAAAAAAGGGAAGCGGGACCGGTCGCGACCGGGACGGTTCGCCGGCACGCGAGGAGCCATAAACGGGCCGTAAAGTGGATGTCCCGTTCGCAACGCTCGCAACGTCCTCGAGGAAGAAGTAGTTCCCGAAAGAGAAGAGACGCACCTTTCGAGAGTTCGAGAACGGTGAGACGGACTTTCACTCGTGAAGCGATTCGTGTCAAAGGGTGAAAAGAAAAAAAAATCGTTCAATCCCGAGGCCCGAAAGCTCGAGGTTATATACAGTCTCACGTGTCGCTCGGATAATAACGTCACGGACGAACCGCTCAGCCTCTCAGTAAGCTCGAAGGACTTTCATTAAGACCTTTATTTTTGGTCGAACGGAGGGAAAAGGGTCGAAAACACGTTTTTATATTTTAAACAAAAGGAAAATATAAATCTCTTCAACTCCCACGATCTACCTACGCTTCCTGGTAAATAAAAAGGTATAGAAGAAGGGGGACCCCGCCCCGCCCCCGCGCGACAGTGGCTCGGGACGGTAGCGAAAGGGCGAGTTTTCCTTTGGATCGTCGCGCCTTCAGCCTCACAGATTCGGCTGAAGGCTCTCTCTCGGCGGGCCGGCTGCACACTGCCAAGTAGTCTGCAGACACGTGTATTGATTTATTCCGGGTTAGGGTGGGCTGGGGGATGAGACGGAGAGGCAACTCGGCAGGGGGAGGGGAGGGGGGAGAGTGAATGAACGAGGAACAAAGAGGGTAGGCGAGAGACCGCGTGAATGGATCGGAGAGAGAGGGAGCGAGGCTCTAGTTGTGGGAAAACTATCCCTTAGCTTCTATTTCTCTCGCACCTGCCCTATACTTCTCTCCCTTCCTCCCGTTTCTATCCCAGACTGGCGCATAGACCACCCCGACCGAATCGCGACGGGAGTATACGACGGGGTAACGTTGAAGTGTCCCCCTAGACCTAGGATCGCGGAACCCCTCGGAACACTTTCGAAAGTAACACGGAGCGTAAGTTGCAACGTCGAAAACTTCAATACTCCGTTTTAAAATTAATATTTACGCCTAGTACTTTTGAATGTAATATTTTCGGCGCGAAAATTGTATTTTGAAATAATTACATTAACAAATAATTGATTTAAAATATCAATTAATTCAAACATCATTTTTATCCCAAACCTTGTTTTTCATTTAACTTTTTATAATGTTTTAAATAATTACGCAAGACAGACTGTGAGCGAAACGGCATCGAATAATTCAAATAAACTGCAAAGTAAACGAAAATTGTATAAAACATTATTTAACTACTCTCGAAAGGATCGTAACGATTAATTGGAAATTTGAAGATATGCTCTTATTTTTTATTAAAAATAAATTTATCGGACGAAACTTCTGCGCTTTTCCACTTTTATCGTAGCCTCTTGTCCGTGTTAAATATTTACGCTCTACTCCTAGAGAATGTCGGAACTTCCAAGTAGAACTTTCCGAAAGTAATATTTTTGTTTCACATTCCTCCCTTCCCACAATACTTTAAATATTTATATCTGAAATATTTACGCACTCCCCCGAGCTATAATGTGTCGGAACCTCCAAGTATTTTCGAACGAAACATTTCACACACAACCCTCCTTTTTTTACAAGATAGCCAATATTTACACAAGATCCTAGCGGACGAATTTTTATCTTTTTTTTGTCGTTCTCCTTAACGTCTAATCTTATTGGTCGGACAAGAACTTTTACGAGCGATTAAACGCGAGAAACTAATTTTTAATTATCGTAAAATCTCTAATTTCCAGATTCCGCTTATAAACGCATTTGACGATTATCTACAATGTTTAACAGTTATTGTTTTTGTCAATTAAATTTTCTTTAAGTTAGACAATCTAAATTAATTCTGCCCTACAGCAAAACAAATTAATTTATCTTTCCAGCTTCTTTTCTAACAATACATCTCGGAATTCCTAATCAGCTACAGACTTACCTAGCTGACGGTAGATGTCGGCCTTCAGATGCAACGGCAAAACCTTTTCCTTCAGCAGGGCCTCGTAATGCTCCTTGGCCAGACGATACTTGCCCTGCACCTCGTATAAGTGAGCGATATGGAACTTGACTGCAACAAACACGCGGGACGCGATTCCTCAGTAAATTTCTCGGTAAACAGTCTCCCGAAGACTGGTGGTCACGAGGGAATCAAATTACTGCGACGAAGGCGAACTTATCAACCGGACGCGGAGGGTGAAAGAGAGAGAGAAAAAGAGAGAAAGCGGGGATCATCGATCAGAGCTGATTCGGTTCGATTAATTTTCACCATATCGACCAACAAGCGCGCGATAAGCACGTGCGCGAGACTGACGCGCGAGCCATGCTCGGCCGGCTATTTAAAAGCGCGACTTCCGGCGGGGAACTATACATTCCCGCGCGAAATTCCCGGTAGCCGAAAGAGAGAGAATGATGATTCCCGCGCGAATCATCACGTGGAAAAATGTACAATTCGGAGTCATGAATCAGCCCAGTCATCGTCAGCGTGATTCATCCCGCAAGAAACCTCTCTCTCTCTCCGCGACTCAGGAACTAGTTATACATACATCTGTACACGAGATGCAGAGTGGGGGAATCCCCGCGAGACCTCATTTCAATATTAATGACAGATTTCCCGACTAATTCGAGATCAGTTTTTTTTCGCGGGAAAACTGGACAGATTGACGTTAATCGGGAGTTTCCATTTCTGTGACTTTGAAATTGAGATCCCGCTGGAGTAAAGTTCGCGGAAAATGTTATCTACTTGTCTCCGTGAGGCTTAAGCTTAAGAGTTTTCTTTTCTCTCGGCGCGAACAGCTTATTTACGAAATATGTAAATCTCTCGTCAATTATATTTGTCCGTTATATTCATTAATTCATGAATTATTACTCGATAATGAAGAATATTTAGGTCAATTTTCTGGCTATTGTGATTAGATAAGTGCATGTTATTGCCTAGTTGCTAATAGAGCCGAAAGTTGGTCACGAGCTACGGTCGCGCGCGAAATATAGACGAGATCTTAAACCAGTCAAACTTGTACGACTCTAAATAACCAGTCAAATCAGTTCTCGTTATACTACACACTGCAGGAATTACCTACTTGTATTAGTATAAAAACTACAATTCTTATGACAGAGAGAGAGAAAGAGAGAGCTCAACATATTTCCGTAAACAAATAAAAATTCTCTTTATTCGAAAGGACAGCTTTTACGAATTGGCTATTACAGTCGCAATAAAATTCGAATCATTAAATTGAAACTCCTCTTGATGGTCTCCTCCTTTAGTTTGAGAAGTAAAATCTATTGAATACCTATATCTTTCGCAGAACGTTAAAGTATCGACTAAAAAATTTCCCACGGAATTTATCACGTTAAAGATCTGGGCTTTTTCCATCTGACAAATTATTAGAGCTAAAGTATCACTGCAGTTTCTCGAAAAAAAAAATCCCCCGTTGAACTACACAATCGCGCGAGGAGTCATCTCACTGACGTGAACATCGGCAGCAAAAGGCGGTCAAGTTCGACGGAGGAAAGTGAGCGAGCGATTACGGAGTTGCGATGCGCGGGGTCGTCGGCGGCGCTGGGAGTTTTCCGGCTAACGGCGCGAATAAAGGGGACAGAGCGCACTTACTCTCGAGCTTGGAGAAGGAGGCAGGTGTGGTGGCATCGATCAGGGCGAGGGTCAGGTGCTTCAAGGCGGCGTCGAACTCAGCGTGGACCTTCAGCATCAAGCCGAGCCGTAGGTGAACCTCGCAGGCCCGTGGAAATCCTGGTTCCACCCATAGCACCTGCTGGAACGCCTTCACGGCCCTGGAACACAAGAGAGACGCAAAGACCGTTAATTAATCGACTAAATAATTATTTATTCAGTTTTCAAAATTCTCGAAATTTATTCAGTTATAATTAATTATATGAACTGCGTTTATCAAGACAAGGAATAAGACAGCTCAAACAACCTTGTCTTAAAAGTGTAACTTCTAGAAAAATATAAATGTTTAATGTATTGTAAATACGGAATTTCGCACGCAGCTCGTGATCTCAATTTCAAGGGATTATTCGATGAAATTTAAAATCAAGTTTCTCCTTTTCCGTGAAAAGACTTAGAGTTTTACGAGAAAACTTTTGTGAGTTGAAAATTTCAAGACGAATAATCAACAGAGAATTACGTTTTCCAATAAACTTCAAACTGAGCTATTAGAATTTTAATTACAAAAAAAATTTACAAAGATATAAAATTCTCGAAAATAAAGTTTTTTCGCATGAGAAAATTCTGTTTCATTCTGTATCTTTTATTTATTTTCTTTATGTTATTTCACGTTATTTCTTTCTTTTCAGCCTAAAATGGTTCGGAGAGACCCGACTTCGTGTAGCACTAGATATTTAATCACAGAAAAATATATTTTGTTACATTGTTATTGCCGCGATCGTGCAAGGGAAATTGCCTCGCGTTGCTCTTTGCCGTGCTTCTTTTCTCCCCGTGAACCTCGCCGGCGCGCGCGGCGTGTGCACGCGACGTGGCAAGGTGGGCACGCAGGAAGTGGCTAGTATGTAGTCGCTGTCACGCGACAATAGCGAAGGGGGGATGGGGGGAGGGCGCGAAAGAACGGAAGGGGGAGCGGCGATGCGCGTAACAGTAACAATTGTCCTGAACCGGCATATCGCAAACTGGTCGCCGCGCCGTGCGACGACGCGATCGATGCACGCCGATCGATTGCACGGATGCACACGCGGGAAACCGGAAACGGGTAATGTACGCGTGCGAGCGAAGAAACATATATCGCGGTGACCGGGGGCGGTGATTGTATTAATATCGTGGCCGCGCGATCGAACGGCTCATTTCACGGAGCGCGCTAAAGAGTTGCTCTTTAAAAAAGTAAACATTACGGCGTTGTCTACTTCTTCGGGGGGAACGAGGGTCTTCGCAAGAAGCTGGCGAAAGATTTTCAAGGTACGGTAGATTTGTGAGGAAATGTGGAAAATTAGAAATTTTCGTTAATTTAAAATAGGAGATAATTATGAGTAGAATATAATACATAATTTATAATACATTATATTCTAAAGCGCCAGAAGATAATTATAGGTAGGATATATAATAATTATAATTATATTGTATATGTATATTAATCCTACCTGAAATTATAATTTTAAATATATAATTAATACAGTAGAAATATATCCGCAATATTAATTGCATATTTTACAAAGTAAAAAACTGCATAAATTAATCGCGCAACCATGTAAAGCGGACTGAATACAAAATTTAACATCCGTATAACTTGATAAAGAAACATTATTATCTGTAATTTTTCGAGCGACCGATGGAGATGAAATAAAAATGGCTTTTTCTTACTCGAAAAAATAATATATACCAGACTTTTCTCAATCATCTGTATTGCCTTTTCCTAGAAATCACCTGGAGAGTCATCGATACGATAAAGATACCACATTTCTCGTACCTAATGCGCGTTAAGAAAATATTCCGATAATATGAAAACGCAAAAGTTTACTTTCCTCGGGGAGGGACGGTTGTAGGGGGTACGCGCGTTGCACGAGGGTGTGCGCCTTCGATCGCCGTTTTATTCAGAGCGTCGTCGTCGTCGCCGCTGGACGCAAGCCAATGTCAGTTTACAGCCAGGCGAGAGCAACGTCGTCGAAGACGTCACTTTCGTTCCCGTTAAACGATGGTCGTTTGCGACGGTTACGTATATAGGTCACCGAGCATGCAACTGAATTCCTGCGTCTTCTTTGGGGCACATAGAACTTATTTCTTCTTACGTACTTTATTCCCCTTTCGCTCGATTTCTTTTGTTATACTTTTAGCTTTCTCTCATTCTCTTTTCAGAGAGATGTGTGTGTGTAAAAAGTTCTCTTTATTTGTTTATTAGAAAAACGTGGCATGACTTGGCTCATTCAGTACCCCGGCGCGCGCGTGCGGTCCACGCCAAGCTCAATCTTCCCCAATATCGTTCCAATTTTAGTATGCGCGCGTATACTGCCGAAGCCGGGGGTACGCGTGTTGGCGCGTTACGTGCTCATGCATATAATACGCACACTCCGCGGCCGCGTGCATGTGCGCGACACACTTTTCACAGAGCGGGGTTACGGCACACTTTTCCTATCCTAAGCGAGCGCGCGGTTATGAAACACGAGCGACGTAACGTAAGCGCGCGCGAGCACGCGGCCGCTTACGATTATCTCCGGGCGCGCGATAAAGACCCCCGTAAACAGCTGAGCCCCGCCGCCTTTCACCAAATGCAAAACCAACTGCATTTTCGCGTCGCTGAGCCTTACGAGAGGCAGAACCTTACCGCGCTGTATAGCAGAAAACCGGGAATAAAACTATGAGAAAATCAGACATCCGCGACTCTGAACTCTACGATTAATATTTCAATAGCGCGCTATTAAACTCTCAGATTTAATTACTCCTTTAACATATTATCTCTATATACATATTACAGAATGCCTCAAGGAAATATTCTTGTATGTTATATATTCTTATAATTGCAGATCTTTCGCAGTCGACATTTATTTCAACGACAGATTTTTCAGTCAAAATAGGATAAACAAATTTCAGGACAATAAATAGTAAATAAATAGTAAAATTGCGTAGCTCAATCGAAAGTGAGCATTTTCGATGTGAGTTTGTAACGTATCGGGGCATTATAAAGCTGCAGTTTAATGAGAAAGTAGTAAAAACGACGGAAAAAGCGACCACCGTTGTCGTCGTCGATGTTGTCGTCATCGTCATCGTCATCCTCGCGACCACGCGAAAGAGCAGCGCGGTAGTAAATTCATTCATAAGAAGGCCCATTCATCGCTTCATTCACTCACTTCGTTTCCTTTCGGGGTTCGTTGTCTTCAGCAATGAGTCACTCCTAACGCGCGCGCGCCGAGCCGAGCAGAAAGAGAAATGTCAGTGACTCGCTCGTTCCCTTGCGAAACGGGCGTGTGGCATAGTCGATGCGAAACATCGAACGGAAAAAAAAGAGAGAGTAAGATAAAGAAAATAGGATTGCCTATGATCGTCTGAAATTGAACGAATAAATTTTATTCAAGGCAAATGAATGTAAAGTTGACAAAAAGTCGTAGTCATATATATCTTTGCTAATAGATGAATATAGGAAATATTATTATAAATAAAATATAATTCAATTTGATATGAATAATACAATTAAATTAACTATAATATATTGTTATATTTATAAAATATATATTTTATAAGTATTTTCTTAAAATATGCATATTTTCTTAATAATCTCCTTCCCCTTTTTCATTTAATAGACATTTTGATCGATCGCTTCGAGCGTAAGTATTTTTCCCGGGATCTCTACTCGACGTTAAAAATCGCCTACTCGAGGCTGGTCTCCTTGTTCAGTTACGCTCTGTATAGCGTAACGTAAAAATGGAAGCGAGAACTTCGACGATAGCCCAGATTGCATTTTCGCGTGGCGCGAAAGTGTGCCATAACAAATGCGAGAGATCTCCCGGGTGCGCGAAATGCGGCCGCGGCCGTGGACGAGGGTGTAAATGAAGTCGTTAGGGCAGCGTGACGTGCGGCGGCAGGGCGGCCAGTATCGTTAAGGACAATCTCCGAGGCGAAGCCGGGGACCTTCTCATTATCGTACAAACACTTCAAATTTCCTGGCACGAGAGAGAAACGCCGTCGTTGCGCTGCGCTGCGTCGCGTCGCGTCGCGTCGCGCTGCACACGAAAGGGGTGCATTAAAATGCACCCTTCGACCGGCCGGCCGTTTAACACCTCATAAATTAATCCGTGCAGAGTATGATCCGTTAGTTAACGCGACAAAGTCGTTTTGTCGGGGATTTCCTTCGCAGGCGACTCACTGCGGGGAAGCGCGATTCGCCTCTGCGATTTTGATGCGAGTTTCGCGGACGAATTTCGTAGAGCTAGACAAAGATTCCATTATATTGTAGTTTTCACGTAAGACAACGATTACGTATCAATTTCCTTCGAATATCTTAATTATATAATGTCTTCTCTCTCTTCACATATTTAATTGTCTACTCCTTTTAGCTGATTATTAATTTAAATTATTCTAACATTATGCAAACTCTATTACGGCAATATTATTAAATTATTTCTAGTCAATTTTCTCTAAAATAACGAATTAAATATAAATTATTTATTTGCCATAAAAGAAAATAAGAGGTTTCTTTACTGTAATTGAGTAAAAAAAAATTATTTTATTAATGACATCTTAATGTAAAAATGTAAAATATCTGTAATAGTCTGCCTATTTGCTGGTGTATTTGAGAACAGATGCAACGGTTCGGAGACGACCCACATTTTCAGTGCAATTGCAAAGTCAGCTTCAATAATTTCGACATGCCGGATTCGAGATAGAGCGAGCGTTCCGAGAAATCTTACTACACGATCACAGGTATCGAGTAAATTCCTCGCCCACGATGGAAATCCCCTCCCTCCTCTGCCCCTCCCCCCCTCGAAGGATAATCATTCTTAATGACTTCCTTATTACAATTTCGTTATCTTGATCACCAGCGCGCGCACGCACGCACCTCCACCGAGACCCGGACACGCGTCACGCACGCTGCAGCACGCGCGCTGCATCGCATGAGGACTATCGAAAATGCCGTTTTAGCATCAACGCCGATTATCAGGCAATTTCGAAAGAATGCGAAACAAAATTTAAAAAGTTCGTGCCTCTCCGCATTTTTCCCTTCGGCGCGCGCACGCGCGGGAAGTTGTTCTTGCGATTCCGCACCTCGAGCAGAACGCAGAAAGATGAAGAGGAAGACTCAATCGATTGTTAACGTTTAACAATACAGTGA